CCGATGACACATTTTCATCCTACAATAAACATGCACATTATTGATAACACAGATTTGAAAAAAATGAGCTCAAAGACTCCTTCTACCATGCAGAGCCAGAACAACCACTACAAAGTCCCGTAAACTGAAATTGTAATTCGACAGTAGCAAACCTCAAATTCCTCAGGCATCTGATACTCGAGATTCTCGACGGGGTCGTACCGGCGGTTCTTCTTGGACTCCTCCTCCGGCAGCTCCTCTTCGTACTCATACAAGTCCCGGCCATAAACCTCTTCCTGATCCTCGTCGGAACCAAAACCCTCATCAACAGGGTTTAAGCGTTCGAGCTCCTTTCGCAGAGCATTGGGCAAACGAGGGCCTTTTCTTTCTCTTGTATCGGTGCCTTTCTTTTGCTTCTTGCTGGGTTTGCCTCTCTTGCCCTTTGCCTCACCTCTAGATTTTCGCTTCGTCTCCGCCATGTCGTCTGCGCGATAGAGAGGAGAGAAGGGCTCGGTTTTCTTCTATAGTGAGGGTGAGAGCAGTAGGCAAGGCACTGGGCAAAACCTACTTGCCTTCAGTGCGCAAGAATTCTATAGTGCCAGCCTTTGCAGACTCAACGGAGCTCGTTTTATACCCAACCCAATCTTAAAGCCCAAACGATTGAAAGTATAGTTGGGCTGCAACGTTAGAGTGTTGGAACTATCGATCGATTCAACCAATCCGCAATTAGGCTCACATGTTTGGCCCCATATAAGTTCCTTTTTTTTTTTTTTTTCTTTTTTTAAAGCTACAAGTGATATTGGAAGAAAAAGAAAGAATCGAACTTAAAAACTCGGGTGCAAGAGTAAATGCTCGACCCATGTAAGTTTTGAAACACATAATAACACAAGGGTTCATTTGTTGCTCGGGATCGGAAAGGATTGTCTCATTTTTGGTACAAATTTTTTAACTTTAAGTGAGATTGTGTCAACGGGTTCAAAACAAAATTATGTGTTTGAATCCTCCCTTCTAATGAAAGCAAAGCACTCCTGAATTGGATGCTTCATAAGCTCTTCATATTTCTACATCTTTCATTTTCATATTTAAAAAATAAATGAATCAGTTCAAATTTTGCAGCTGTTATTGAGAATTTGTCATCTTGATCACCAATGCATAAGACAAACTATATCCAGCTTATATTATAACTGTCAACTTGATATTTGATCAAATGAAAGTAACTGATTGGACAACATATCCATGTGAATATCGCGAATTGTGTAGGTATATATCTTAATCAACCTCCAGGAACTTGAAATGCTTGATAGAGGAAGAAGAGGAGCCCCCCATTGTTTTGTTTGCAAGTAAAATATCTGTGACCGATAGAGTCCATATGCATGCATGATCATGAGCATGACATTTCGTAGTACAGAGACAAAGAAGCTACGTTCCTTCCAAGTTCCAACTGCTCGTTTTAAACATTATTTAGGTTTTGTCCATTATCCCATATACACATGAATCAAAATGGTGGGTCACCTGGATTGCAGTTATAGTATATACAAAAATATAAATAGTAGCTCTCCTGGTATAGAGGAAACACGAATCATAATATAATATATCCATTAATATTGTTTGAAATTGAAATTCACTTGAAATTTTACATGACGTTCGCATAGCGCAACCAATCCCTTCTTAGCGTTCATATATATCTTACACACGCCTTGGACATATTTCCATGTTTCCTTCCAAAGCAAACGCCTCACCATATTTTATAGTTGTATTCATATTTATATATGATGCATGCAAGATATATAATGTCTGACATTAAAACGAATGCAATAACACACATATATATACATACATACATACATGTCCATAATTTTATTTGGAAGATGAACTAAGTCTCTTGATAGCTTATGTAGATATTTGGCCGGAAATATGATAGAAACTAGGGGAGATTAAGTTTGAGTGGTTGTGCTGCAAACATATTACCTATGATAACAGCACCTGAGGAACCCATATTGAGAGGAATAGGTGAGGAACCCATGTTGGAGAAGGGGAGCACGTGCAACAACTTACTAGCTTTTCTTTGTGTTTGAAAAGCAAAACCAAAACCAAAGCGGTTTGCACGTGCCCTGCTTCTCCAACAAGGAGCCACACCTGCTCTACTTACAAGCCTTGCTTGCTAGCTGCACCCACACTCTTCCTTACATTTGAACAATAGAATAGAAATAGTGTGGATTGGATGAATTCAAGGAAGAAGAAGCCTATGTTATTTATAGGCGCAAACAGGGGAGAGAGAGAGTGTGTGTGTGTGTGTTTAAATCTCTCATGCATGCATGTCATCATGGTAAGAGATGAAGGAGAGAGGAGTAATTAAATTGAAGGTACGTAGAGCGGGGCAGGGAGAGAAGAAAACCTCTATCAAACCATGCCATGCCATCATTTTGATATTGTCATTAATTTGTACGTGATATGAAGAAAATCAAAAAAATTCAAAGTAGAGATATCTGAGGAGACCAAAAGAGGCTCCTGTCTGCCTTATTATTATTGTCACAAAACTAAACCCATTTGCTCCATGGAGCCTCGGAGAGGAGAGGATTGATTCAATGCACAGAGAGAGACAAACACAAGCCTCTAAAAATTAAATCTCTTCTGGCCCCACCAATATATATATATATATATATGTATTGTTCAATACTGCTGCTGGGGCTGGGTGGGCAGCCTTGGATCGATCAAGAATCTCGGGCCATGATGTTTTCCTAGACGTCCTAGATCACCTCTTGGGATTTGTTTGGGTGGGCCCAATGGGAGGTTGTCTCTTAAGTTCTCAACTGAACCAGCTTTTTGCATTTGGGAAGAAATATTATTAATATCGGATTGGACATACATATAGTGCAAGCATGGCATGGGAAGAGAAGAGAGGGAATAATAATAATGTAAAGAGTGTACGTAGGGCTTTGCGTGTTGAGCACAAGCTTTTGAGTGTGGTATTTATGTTTGTTTGATTTTTTTTTTCCCTTTCTCAAAGGGCTTGGAGTGCTCCCTAACCCCTAGCTAGATATGATCATTCCCTATAAAGAATAGGCTTCAGCTTTTTCTACCCCCAGAATTTATGGTGCTTTCATCAATAAGTAAGGACCCAAGAATTTCATACCGCCTGATCATGGCAAAGGTGCGTGTTATAATGTAAGCATTGGCTCATAATATTGAATTGCAATTTGCAGCAGAGCAGGCGTGCATTTGGCCTTTGAAATATGCATCAACCCCTCATTGTAAATTAAATTTACATGTATATATATATATATATATATATGCAGAATAGCTTTTGACAAGTAAATTTTCTAAACCACCATTTTTTCTCTTTCGTTTTAATGGTTGGTTGTGGGGTAAAACTGATATGAAGTTGAATGTAGAGATGTAGATAGATCTCATTTGGTGGTGGTGGACAGTACGTGTTGTGTAAACTTTGCATTGGAAGTCTTAAGTTTGATTACCCTTCCTCAATATCGTTTGTATAAAAAAGAACCAAAGTGGAAACCCCAAATTTAAGTCGAGTATTGAGGCTCATATAATATCACAAAGCCCTTTGAGTTATGAAAATCTGTCTTGTCTTGTGGGAGAAGAACATAGATTCTGGATGAGGTCATGATAAAATATTTAGGTATAGCTTATAGGAACATAAATAGTGGCGTGTGCATCGTGCATTTGAAAAGAAAAGGGTGGCACTGGCACACTGATATGTATGCTGCCGCAGGGGTTTTGAAACTCAATCATGCTTCAAGGTTCCCACAAGTTCAATTTCCACCACACTTGATGGATATGTTTGACTTCCCACCCACTCAGAACTTTAAAAAAACAGCAACAATACAAAAGGTACTTGTAGCGTGGCGTGCGTAAAGTGCCTCTGAATCGGGCTCTGAATTGGGATTTTGCTAATTTCTTTGTTTTTCGAATCCCTCATCCACGAACAAGAAAGAAAAATAATATTCATGACTGAATGACTGAAGCAATAATGCTCGACTTGCCAACTGCCATAAAACTATATAGATGAGAAGGTCCACAAGTGTTCTCGATACAACTCCACCATGTATGCCTATGCTAAAATATATAGATGTTGCAAGAGTCTTAGATGTTTATAGGGAAAAGAAAGCATCACAATAATCATATATCTCTTAAAACTAAATATGCATTGATTTAAAATATTTGACAAAAGAAAATTCAGTAGCAATAAATGATCATTATATAGAACCACCTACACATACCTTCAACGAAAATCAGAATTTGTTGCGGTCTCGGTTTATTATTTTAATAAGTTATGCAGTTGCTCGTGGAATGAGTCCACGATTAGTGATTAAGTGTCGGTGATATATGATTTTGCAGCTTGATTACGTTGGCTAATGATTTATTGTCAATTTGGGTGGTGCTTGTCAAACGGATGGAATTACACAAAATTAACTTTCTAAGGAATTTGACATTCAAGGGAAAACTACATTTACAAAGTGAGGAACCTTGAAGGTAAAGGTTTTTTTTATTACTTTTGTTGACTTTTTAGTCAACTTCGTTTTTGACCGATTTTTTCAATCCAACTCGGTTTTCTAGTTTTCCGGTCTGGATACTCGGTTTGTAGTAAATGCTTTATTGAGTCACAGACTCATATGTATGCTGCCTGCAGAGGTTTTGAAAAACAATCATGCTTCCCACAAGTTGAGTTTTTTCCACCACCCTTGATGGATATGTTTGACACACTCAAAAAACTTAAAAAGAAAAGCAAGGAACAATGCAGAAGAAGGTACATGTGGCATGGTGTGGTAGGTGCCTCTGAATTGGGATTTGCTAATTTCATTATTTCTTTGTTTTAACATAACAAAATCCATTTCAAATCCCTCATTTTCTTAAATAAACAAATCTCTCTCTACCCGTTACCCTAAGAAAGAAAAATAATATACATGACTAAAGCAAAATGCTTGGCTTGCCAACTGCCATCAAACGTGGAAAAAAACTGAGCTAACAAATCAACAACAGAAATAAACAACCACATACATCTATCGCTTGTAATTGAAATTCACTTGAACAACATAGCGCATCCTAATCTGCTCGACATTGTAAACTATGTACTCATTGTACAGTAAAGCACCCTGCAAGAAGAGACGAGATTTAAATAACATAAATTATACAATGAAACTGCCTTTCTATAAAAGTTCCAAATCAAATTCACATCCAAAGTAATTCTAAGAAATGATGCATTCTACCTTGGGCCCCGAATTCTCTTTCGGCTTTCCAAGGGGAACCACAACACCATCATTTAGTAACCGAGCTTGTGAAAGATCTGGTTCAGTTCCTCCAACTCCTTTAGTGCTGCAATACTAGGTTTCATAAGCAAAACCATTATGACAACTAATCTTGGGAAAATTAAGTTAACGCAACGCACATTTTAGTTTTGAAAATGGGCGAGATAATATAAAAAGCATTCAAAGTCAATTCTCAACCAAAGAAGATAAAAGGTTTATTTGTTAAGGAAGATAAACTTGGAATGCGCAATGCAAAATTCCATAAGCATAAATGACGAGAAGAGAGTTTTATCAATTAATCAGTTTAATTTTTAGCAACTGGATCCAATAAAGAAAGCTGGATAGCATGATATTAGTGTCCAATAAAGAAAATAGAGACACAACCTTAGCTTCCCTTCTGGTAGCTTGTCAGCATCATACTTAGCAGTTAAAAGCTCAGCCATGTCGCCTAGTGCAACCTAAAGAGAGATACATTAGAACATTAAACTCAACTATGACGAAGGTGGCTCCAGCTTCCAATATGAAAATGATAGCTAAAAGATAAATGCACTACTCCCAGAAGAAAATCCATGCTAGCATGAACCAACCAACTCTGCGACAATCAACACGCAGTGCAAAAAATTGTAACACATGCATGTGAAGTGCAGTCCCTCAAAGTATTCTGTTGGGCATTCAAGTGCAGCGGATTAGTGGTTGGGAAAATGCAAATTTTTATCCAGAGGGATATTTCCCATATATGATTCTGGATCTTATTGGTATGCAATGTATTGATTTGATAATCTGATGTTAATCCACTCTTAACACCAGGTCATTTTAGTAGTAAACTTATGTTTTTTACTGGCTGAAACTTGAAAGACAACCTCACATAGAAGCAGCACACCAGCTGTACAACCATCAGTAGCATAGCAATAATTTGCACTTTTGGAGAACATGTCGGCAAAATAAATCCCTTTCCCAAACATGTAACCAGTCACCGGTGCTTCAGGTGGAGCTATTCGTAAGCCTGGGTTGTCATGACATATTTTTTGAAATTAATAAGCTGTTCTCAATGAATTATTCATAGTGTATGTGTGCAAGTGCGCAAACACACACCCAATATTAAGTATATTAAGAAAATAAAGCAAAAACGATCACCTTGAGATAATATTCCTGCCCAATTCGTGAGCCGAGAACCGTGCCATAAAAGCATTCTATTTTTCATACTACTAAACTGCTCAGAGTAAAAACAAGATTAGGAAGTGCTCAAAATGCAAAACTAGGAGGATTCAAAACCAAAAGGAATTTTTTTCATAATCACTATTTCTAAACCAAAATAGACCATCCTAACCTTTCTGAAACGTTCAATTTCACCCTCTTTTGATGCACGGAATATCTGAATGATATCAACAGCATAATTTGAATGCGTTTTTGCATGAGTATTATGCAAATACTTCGCAATCTGACAACAGCCATAAAAAGAAAAAATATCAAAACTAAAGAGCAGATTGAGAAGCTAATAAATCATTAACTCAGTTTTCTTTTCATATTCAAACTCCCATTGCTTATAACTCATAGATACCATATTAAATTCATCAGAATCAGCACCAAGCGGTGTCAGTTCACAGCGTAGGCGTTGGTAACTGGAATACAAGGAATCTTCCTACAGTAACGGCAGAAACATACATTAATATACTTGCCACATGAAAGCACCGACATAGAAGATGAAGATTCCTATTAATATGAAACAAAAAGTTAAAAAGTGGTTGGATTTTACTTGTTTAACATGAAAGCAATATGGATGGAGAGGGCAGCACATGCATATAGTGCACATACTTTGCTTCAACTAAACTGAAGAAAATTTAAAATGTTTGATCATGAATTGCCAGTTTGAAATTTATAATGTGACTGAGCTTCACTAAATTTAACTAGGATGTCCGACAAGTAAATCAATCCCTGGCTTCTAAGAAAGAGAATAAATATTTGTTCTCTAAATGCAAGGGGTCTACTGGCACATTTTATGAGTATAAAGTCTTAAATGGTGCAAGTAGGACCCTCTCTATAGAATTGCATTTTAGTCTTGCAATAAAACATCCAGAAACACTGAACAATACCAAAAACTTCCAGACATGGAAAATCTGCAAGTGAATAATGAGGGATAAGGCTAAAAAAGAATTACCTGCATTCCAGTATCATCCTTCAACAACTTTGCTGCGACCACAATTTCATCTAGTGCTTCAACCTTCAAGTAGATAGGAGTAAAGAATGTATTTTATAATCAAGTCAAAAGATTAATTGTCACACAAATATAGTATCGCACTGATAGGCTACACAAGATTATGTCGAAAGGGAAATAACCTTATATATCAACTAGTGGAAGTTCTTAGAAGAACTATACCCACATATAAAAGAAAGAAAAACAAAAAGAATTACCATTTCCAACTTCTGTTTCAGTTTCCGAGGAGTATCAATCACAAAGTTACCTGCATTACTCATATATGTGTCCAAAGCAATTAGATTTCTTTTAGTATAAGTAAAACAAAATGAATACTGACCCATATACTGGGTATGCCGTATGCTCAAGTAGAATTCTCTGAAAGAGGAAATCTATCAAAAATTGGAATTCCAAAATTCTAGAAAGCTATCATTAGATCTTAAAAGCTAAAGGTACAAAAAAGAAAAATAGGTCAGATCTGCAGTGGATCTAGCATGTTGTTGGAATTATGAATGAACTTAGTCAAGCATTTTGGTGAAAATATATATTCAGAATTTAACTAATAAAATCACTTCTAACAGGGGGAAGGGGGGGAGAGAGAACCCTTACCCACTTAATTGTTCAATTGTTCTCCTATTAGACCCGCCAATCACATCAGCAATCCTCTTCAGGATATTATATCCCTATATATGTTTAAAAAAATAACAAGTTATTGGTTTGTTGCATCTTTCATGGAGAAGCAGATTAAAGGAGAAGACACTTTATGTGAACCTTAAATGTTTTGCAGCCAAATACACACAGTAGCACTAGAGTTCCAAATTGTTTCTTTTTGTTTGGGTCAACAGTTCCAAATTGTTTCCAGTTAACTTAGACAACACAAAGTATCCTTTCGAGTTGTTCAACATTTCTCCTTATCATATCCAGAAATCAACTCAAATACCAAGAGGTAAAAGCTTACCTTTGAAATTGTTGATTTGCTAAGCTTACCAAGAGGTAACTTATCAGCATTGTATCCTACCAAAGAAGAAGAAGAAGAAGGTGTCTGAATAAGGGAACCAAAAAGCAGTTAACTAATCAGATTACTGAAAAATAAAAAACTGAAAGTGCCTAAATAAAATTCTTATTCCTGTGTTATTTAAGCAACTGAATAACTTAGATTATTATGAGTGTTAGTTGCAAAATAATGTCTTTTTGACAGAGAATCAGAAATCAACCAACCTATTTCCATCATATGCTGCTTCATCATGCTGATGTTGCATATAAGAGATATAAACTTTGCAATGCGAGGCTCAAGTTGTGTTTCCAGAGGTTGACCTCTTAAAGCAGAGTCATTCTTTTCTTGTACCTGATGATGATAATCAAGAATCAAGAAGGAGCAAACAAGATGATTTTCTTCTCCACCCTTCCCCTTCTCCCACAACACACAGAGGTCATCTGACACTCATCCGTTGACCCCTACACATCGAGGCTATGAAAGGCAAGATTGAAATATGAAACACCTTTTGAAAATGAGAAATATATAACATAAATGGGAAAAACAATTCAATATTGTCTTGCTACCAACAGGATCTCCTATTTCTTTATTGTATTTTTTCTTTGAAGAGACAGGTCCTCAGTAATTTGCAACCAAGAATAGCTTCAGGGCATTGTGAGTATCTCCAGCATTCAGAAAATTATGCAAAGATAAGCAAAAAGTTGTGGATACTCACAGACAATTGTTTTTCCTCTTCGTTGTAATCCATTTCTATCCACATATAGTGGTGCGGGAAAGACTCGAACATTTTACGATTGGACCAATCATTCTTGGTTTTGTCATAGAATTTCTGTTTAAACTCATTGATTGCGCTGTCACGGGATGTGTAAGGGCCTTGTATCTTGTTTTGACCCTTAACACCTACTCTCCCCCATCTATAGTAAACCATGAAAGTACCACCAGCATCAGATTCTGCACGTCAATTCATAAGAAATAAAAATAAGTATACATTGCCTGAACTGGTGTAACTCGCCAATGTCGTTAATCCCATAACTCATTGGAGCAGATCAAACTTCATTATGTGAGGTGACAAGCATAAATAATGTTTCTGTAATCCGTTAGAATTAATCCTTGTAATCAGTATTTGTTACAAACTGAAATCAGATTCAGTCAAATTCTGTATAACTTCATAAGTTTCATTGCTTGAACCACATATGTGCTTGATTAATAACCCCAACTGAATCTGTATTGAGATGAATTCTTAGTTACGACAATCCAAACATCTAGTTGACTAACTAATTAATTTAGAAATATATATTCAGTGAAATTTGTTGAAGGGAGAAAGAGTTTTACCAAGAACTTGAATCACATAGAACTTGTTATTGTTGTAACCAACATTTGTCTGGTTCAACATGGCATCATATACATCATCACCCTACATTCAAAAAGATCATTGATCAGTCCGAATTTGAAACGAATCAAACTGACATCAATTACCTTCCACTAAGCACGAAATGCAATTAACTCATTAAGTGGCCCTATTGATAAGTATATAGACTTGCCAGTTGCAAAACATGATAATGTGCCTTTATGTGATCTGGTAGCCACTGATCCAATACCGCTGCACCCTTTTTGGTAGCAGTTACGATCTTCTCCTTGCTGCCATTTCCATCTTCATTAGCTATCACCAGACCACAGCATAAAAAATAAGTTACCCAGTTCTAATTGAAAAAAGAACATTTTTCAATGCAGATAAAAACTAAGACATCGATTTCTAGCCCTGGCCTACAATATTGTATTGGCAACCAATCAGAGTTTGAAAGCTCATACCTCCACCCAGAGGAATGTCATCTGAATCTTCAGAAAGCCTATCCAGCAGTTCTTTTTTAGACCCAGTTGCCGAAATTCCACGAAGAGTGGCTTGTTCGCGCAATTGCTTTACACTCATGTCCTGGAACTCGTCGGTGGCCTTGATTTTCTCGGACCCAGTTGACTCTCCATCTTCATTTGATTGTCTTCCCCTCTTTCTACTAACAATTGAAGCTGAAACATCACTTGCGTCGGTGAGTTGCTTGTTTTCTTGGCGAAGAGTGGCCTCAAGCCTCTGAACCTGCAGGAACTCAAAATCAATAGTTGGTCAAAGTCTCTTCTACCTAGAGAAGAGAGAGAGGAAGATAGCGGTTGTTGTCAGACTGACCAGAGTGGGTTTGTTTCCGGTGGTGGTGAGACCACGTTGGGCCAATTGATTTCGGAGCTCTTCTACTTTAAGCTTGCTTGCCATTGGAATTTGGAGAAATGCGTTTGAAACTGTAAAGAGAAGGGGAAGGAAGGGGGGATTTTGTAGCGGGAGTTTGGAATGTGGAGGGAGGAGTGGCTTGGCTTCTCTTTCTCTAGCGTTCGCGGCAAGCTTTTTTGGCGGGCTATTTCTCAATCTCTTATGGGTTGGGCCTTTTCTGGTAATGGAAGAGGATGTTGTGGCTTTTCGGTTTTGTGTAATGGAAGCATTGGGCCTTAGAAACCAATAATAAGGCCTACTTATACATTTCGTGAAATCTTAACAAAACCTATAACTCGGCCCAATTCTTTCATTAAAAAGAAAGAAGAGGCTCATACAAATAAGCCCTGGCTCCTTGGCTCGAGTCTTTAGCAAGACTAGCCTCTTTGCAAGTCAATGTTATTTTTTATACAAATTTATAAATAAACCCAATCCTAGACATGTATTTATAAAAAAACTCAAGTACTATTTAAACATAGAAACACACCCAAAATTAACCCCAAAATCAACTTTTTGGGTGTGTTTATAAATGGGTTTTGAGTGTGTGTAATGATGGGTTTTGGGTGTGTTTATATGTTTAAATAGTGCTTGGATTTTTTTATAATTTCAATCCCCATTTTGGGTGTTTTAGTGAAACTTCCTTTTTTTTATTGGGTTAGACTCTATTGACAGATTTCTTTTCATACAAATAATAATCTAAAATTTTTAAAATTAAATTAATCTAACTTATCTATTTATCTATCTACTAGCCTCTCCGCAATCACTTCTGCGCCAGCAAGAGGCTTTTTAAAAAAAAAATTAAAATTTATTTTAGAATTAAAAAGGATAATGGGTAGTTGTGTTCCATAAAAATAGGATTCATTATTATTTTTTTTAATTTTTTTTAAATATAATAAAGTGTGAATTTTTTTTTAATGGTGAAACATTCAAAATATCAAAAAATGCTCTTGATTAATGCAAACATTAAGAATTGAAATTAGTAATTAAATGAGGATAATATGGTAAATTCACACTTTTCATATTTAAAAAAAAATTTATAAGAAAAAACAGAAAAATTAGATAATTGATCATATTTTTATGGAACACAACTACCCATTATCTTTTTTAATTCTAAAATAAATTCAATTTTTTTTAAAAAAGGCATCTTGCAAGCTCGGAAGCCAATACGAAGAGACTAATATTTTTATAAAACACAACTACCCATTATTCTTTTTAATTTTAAAATAAAATAAATTTAAAAAAAAAAAAACCAATTAGGCGTGTACCAAGAGCCTAGTACAATTAGAAATAGAACGCAAATTTTGGTAGAAGAGAACGGACTCACGGCCTAACCCACTTCAAGAAGATTTTTAAGATATCATACTTCTGTTACTGTAATCTTTTCGGTGATCAGACTGGGAATCGAACTGGGGTTGCGAAAAGAATAAGTATCATGCAAATCTCCGCACGTGCGTTTCCTACTGATTTCATCTTCTTCCCGCTTCAGATAATACGATACCGATACTATTCTCTTCTCTTTACGTTTCAGTCTAATTTAACTTGGCTAATGCCATGGCCATGGACTCGATTCTGAACTCGTCCTTGGAAGAAATCTGTTCGGAAGGCCGAAACGGTCTCCCTCTCAAATCCCTCTGTTCCAGGCTCCAGCCCTCTCTTTCCTCCTTCAATCTCGACGTCTCTGATCGGGGCCTCAAGCAAGCCTTATGGGCGGGGCTTCGCTGTGTCCCCACCCTCAAATTCCAGAGCCAGAATCAGAAGGTCCAGTACAGCCCAACCGACCCTTTGATCCAGTCCGTCCAAGACGCCGAGAAGCTCAACCTCAAGCTGGTAGCCGACCAGCGGCTCATGAACAACTTCTTGGGCCTCTACATTGCCCACTCTTCCATTGACAACATGTGCCAATATCAACGCCAAACACTCGAAAGAGTTGCCGGTGCTAGGTACCAGCTTTTCCTTGTTTCATATTCAAAATCAAATACTCTGCATAAGTTTATAATTCAATCTTCACTGGTGTAGTTTTGAGTTGAATTTGATTTGTTTTTGCCAGATGATTGTAAGTCCCATTTTAACGAATCTTCATTGGAATTTTTCTTTCTTTGTTCGATACAAGTTTGGTTTTTCTAATGAATATGAAAATCTGTAAAATTGGTAATTTGTTTGTGTTGTTTGCAGTTTCTTAATATAAGAAGTTAGTTGATTGCAGTGTGAGCCTCAGCCGAGAAACCTTACTAGTCAAGCTAGAACTTTCTTATATTGACATGATAGGAATCTGTTGTTGGACTAACCTCTCCCTCTCTCTCTCTCTTAGACTTATTTATACTTTTGGAGTGCCGTCGAGATAATTATTTTAGTTTGACTAATGATTTACTGTCAAATTGGGTGCTTTTAGAACGGATGGAATTACACAAAGTCAACTTTCTAAGGAACTTGGCATTCAAGGTGAAAACTACCATTACAAAGTGAGGAACCTTGAATGTCAAGGTTTAATTGTGAAGCGACCTGCACTGGAGAGGAAAAAGAATGCTGGTGATGAAGGACAATCAAGCAACAATTTAAGTGTGACTACTAATGTGATATACTTATATCGCTATGCAGAGAATTTAAGCTCTCAACAAAAAATTGAGATTACCAAGGTAGAACAGACTAAGGAGAGTTTTGGGAATGCAAAAGAAATTCCTGCAGGTGGAGATGGTTTTTCTGGAAAAGGGGTTAAAGAGGATGTGCTTGTGAAGAAGGACTATTTAATATCAGCAATGAAGGCAGTCTGTGATAAACTTGAACAAGCCAATGGGAAGGTTACATTTCGTTAAAGTTTTGATAGATCTATCAAGTTAGTTCCTTTTACAGTTTATATTGAATTTGTTTATGTTATTTTATTGTTAAAGGTTCTTGTTGCGGATATCAAGAAGGATCTAGGTTACAGCGGAACTCGTCCCGGGAATAGAGCTTGGAGGAAGGTAAAATGTAATTAAATATGTATTTTCTTAATCTCTGTATTAGCAATTTGATAAGTTACACTGATTTTTATCATTGTATTGTTCCCTGCATATTCTTCTTCCAGATTTGTGGCAAATTGGAAGCTGCTCATATTGTGAAAAAGTTTGAAGTTCAAGTGAATAAGAAGGTTTCCTGATAATCTTTTTAAGCAAACATCGTTTCTCTTGATTCCATGCTCAATATTGTGTTTCTTTAATTTATTTATTTATTTAACATTCTCTTAGATACAAATTTGCAGTCCTTTTTTATATATGATTTTTCCTTGCTTTAGATGAGTATGTTCACTATTGCTTTCAGTTCCAATATTTGTTTCTGTTTACTGCAAAAGTTAGTTAGGGTCATAATTTAAATTCATGATAAATTTGAATGACAGTTCAATTGCTTGTTATGCTCTTAATTTTTCCTTGTTTGTTATAAATTATAATCAAGTTCTAACTGGTCTAGGACAAGGACCTTTCGTGTTAGTTTGTTGGTCATGACTTGATATCCCTTTTGCATTTTGGACAGGTTGAGCAATTCCTGGGTTTGCTGAAAAAGTTTTGTCCAATGAGTTTTGATCCAAAAAATCCTAGGCAGGTATTGCGTAGGACTGGTTTTCCTCTTTCTTTGATGTGTTATATTGTTTTCTTTAATAGCATAGGATGGACTACTGGTAGTCGTCATTGTTTTGTGCTCTTACTCTTTTTTTCCAATCAAATTAAAGGGAAAAAAATTGTTTGGCAGGTGAAATTCATAAAGAAATGTCAAACCACTGATCTGCTTGTAGAACTTCCAATTGAGCATCAAATTCAGGAATTGATTAATGCTGCAGGCTCAGAGGGCATTATTATGTCTAATGTGAGTGCATTAATTTCTTGGGCAGCTATGTTTTATTTAAAGTGATGAATGTTAAAAAGATTTTGTAGTTTGATGTTATTGTTGGTTTTAGCCAGTGAAATCCTTTGTTACTATTTATTCTGGTAAATATTTTAGCGTTGCTTGGTTAGAGGTTGCTTTGTGTGGTAAAATTCCTGCCATTGAGTAAAAGTTGCATTTCACCTAGAAATTCCTTGAAGTATTTGTTTATTTATTTGCTATATACAGGTTCCGAAGAGGCTTGGAATTGGCAGGAAAGAGAGTGATAAGCTGATTGAAAGTATGTGCTCTAGGTTTGGGATGATTAAGAAGAAAGAAAGAAACAAAAAAATCCAAGAATATCGAGTTTGGGCACCAGGGAAATGCAATTCTGAATCAGCCAATGCATTCCTTAATGAATCAGAAAATCTCAATCAAAATCAAACTCTTTCCACATGTGACTATTCAACTTTGACAGGTGATACTGCTAAATCTAGGAATATGAAAAATGGAGATATTAGTGCTGATCCTTCTAGGTGATTTTTGATGAATCTAACCATATGCATCTCTGTCCCGGATTACAGAAACGGAAACAAATGACACCTCATCAGAAAGACCACCTGCTGTGTTAAAGCCATGTAGACCATGTCTGTCTTTGACAGTGGATGGTTCCATAAGGGAAGAAAGGATACTTAAACAGTTACAGGTTTTTGTTCTAATCCATTGCCTTGAGGATTTCCTGGTCATCTTATTATCCCCATTTTCTGTATGTTTGCTTCATGGCTTGTTCAATATTTAGTACAAATAGTGTATAATGGCAATTAAAACCATATTTTAAATTACATAACTCACTTCACTGAATTAGAGGTACTCATGCAATATATTTAAACCTTCTGATCAATGCATGTTTTCCCGTGTATTACCTCTTTCTGGTTCTTCATGCATGTTATGATAAATGCCAACACCTTAATGGATTCAGGATGAAGGGGATGGAGTTCAATCTCAAAAAAGTAAACATGCTTCCCTGAAAAGGAAGAGAACTTCTGAAGCAAGGTCAGTAGAGTTCACAGAAGTTGACGAGGTAACTAGACGGTTGAAAGAGCCGAGGCTTGCTACATTACCTGTTACTGAGAAACAATTAATGGAAGAACGAAATCTCTTGGTCACTTCTGGCGAGCATGACTCACATTTGCATGCATTCCAGAGGGATGGTGATCAAGAAATTGAGCAGGAACCTGAACCAAATGAAGATGGTGAGGGTGCTTTTTCAAAGTTGAAGCCGACACGACAAAGCAGGTTTTCATGGACCGAGGAGGCTGACAGGTAAGGGAAGAAGATGTGTAAATTATCCTAGAGCCATAAATATAATCTCATTAAAGCTATCTGTAGGGGCAATAAGGCATCTAATATGTAACATGTCATTGTTGACCATGAGAACAATCTGATATCTGATAACATGTCATGGTTGCATCTATCACATATTAGACGTTAGCAGTCAATAGTGTATTAAAAGCATCAGCCAAGGAATTATAGGATCTTCCAATTATTATTAGTATTATTATTATTTCTGTTTGTGTATGCTGATGCTAGCACATCAGTGTTCTTGACTTAGGAGACTGAACGATGGTCGTACAAAAAAACAAAATTTTCATTGGAAAGATGAAAGCATAATGGTAACAAATTTTTACAAAGACTGCGTGAGTGGGAGATTTCAGAATTTTCCCTTCCATTTAATACATTGGTTATTTCTCTTTTTTGTATCTGATGAAAGATAGGATTCCTTTTATTCTTTCCATGTAACAATTTGTTTTACTATTTGCATTTCACTTATATTGATATCATTCCTTTAGGCAATTGGTTATCCAATATGCAAGATGCTGTGCAACTCTTGGGGCAAAATATCATCACCAGATAAGTTGGGCTTCACTTCCTGACCTTCCAGCACCTCCTAGTACATGCAAAAGAAGAATGTCATATCTGAAGAATAGTAATGGAAAATTTAGAAAATCTCTAATGATGCTCTGTAACATGCTCAGTAAGCGATATGCAAAGCTCCTGGAAAAAACCAAGAACAGGTCACTAAACAAAGATGAGTGCAGACAACTTTTGCAAGGTTCAACTAGAGAAGACTATAACATGAATTTTCCCAACATCAGTGGCCATAATCAAGGGAGGAGTCTTCAGGAAGAACCATGGGATGATTTTGATGACAATAATATTAAAAAATCCCTGGATGAGATACTTCACTACCAGAGGATGCCTAGATTGGATGCCACCAAAAGATATGGATCTACCTGTGAGGAGGGGTCAGATCTTAATACAAATGCTGAAGAAGATGTAATTACCCAATCCCTGCAACTTAAATTTTACAAGCATTAACAGCTCGTCAAATGTGCTATATACTTGATTAATTCAACATATAGCCTAGTAAACCTACCTACCTCTCTCTCTCTCTCTTGATATATACCAGTTATTTGTGTTTGTGTACACTGAAGTCCATCTGCACCTGTATTGTAACGATTTGAGTACTTTCTTCCCTTATTTTCCTAGTATATGCCAATATCTGGCTCATCTAGTTTTTACTGAAATACTTTATCACTTGCAGGACCCCAAGGAATCTGAATTAATTGTATCAACTGTTCCATATGAGGATATTCAGAATCATAGTAGAGGCGTTTCTGCACAAAGACCAAGTTGTCAACAACTTCATAACAACTTCTTTAAACTTTTGCATGAAGGAGTTGTTAGCACACCAGCGTACAAATCTTTGGCTGTAGAGCTGTTTAAGCTTGTCTTCTTGAGTACCACAACAGCACCAGAAGAACAAAACCTGGTTGCAGAAATTCGACGGCGTTACTCAAAGTGTGATCTTAATGCAGCTGTGAACTACCTAAGAGATAACAAAATTTTGGTAAATCTTAGTTTCTGTTGATTATTGGATTGAACATTCATTCTTTGCAGTGCTTGAATTGAAGTCCAAGCTTAGACCAACGAGATTTTTATTCACTTCTCCTTAATAGCTTAATATGCATTGTTTGTCTTAATGTCCCTCATATAATCCTGTTCATCTAATTTATAAGTTGTATATATTTCATTCCTGATTAAATTTTATTTGGCAGATTGGGGGTACTGACAGTCAACCTTTATCTCTCTCGCCTCAGTTTTTTCCTAATATTTTCAAGTCACCATTTCCAATTGATTCTGGAAAGAGAGCTGCCAAACTTTCTCGTTGGCTCCATGAAAGGGATAAAGATCTTATGGAAGGAGGGATTGATCTCTCTGCAGATTTAGAATGTGGGGACTTATTTCATTTGTTTGCTCTAGTTTCTTCAGGTCAGCTGTCAATTTCCCCATGCTTGCCTGATGAAGGAGTGGGTGAGGCTGAAGATTTGAGAAGCTCAAAACGCAAAATTGAAAGCAATGAATGTTTGAACACTAAAAAACTAAAATCCTTGGTATCCGAAAGTGAAATGATTTCCCGTCGAGAGAAAGGTTTCCCAGGTATCATGGTATCTGTATATCGTGCAGAATCTTCTGCATCCAATTGTGTAGATTTTTTCAAAGATGATGACACTTCAAGTGGTGAAAAACATTTTGGTGGAAATGATCGACTAGACAGCACTTCAGTGATCCCCCATCCAGGAGATTGTGATTCTGGTGGTGCTCATTCACAGGGAGAAACAAATATGAATGTTAATGATGTGCATAAAGTGACCATTCTTAGTTTCCCTGAAGAGGTTGCTGAGCGCTCGTATGAAAAACAAACTTGCAGTGTGCCTGAAGGCTGCATGGAAGTTGTTTCAGCTAGAGGACATGGTGACAATGAATCTTCTAAATTCACTTGTGGTAAATTATGTGTGCCAATACTGCCATGGATAAACGGTGACGGGACCATTAACAAGATTATCTACAAGGGACTCAGACGGCGTCTTCTTGGGATTGTGATGCAAAATCCAGGGATATTAGAGGTACTTGCACTCTGAGTTTATACAAATTCTATTTGTATGGCTAGAAAAAAACATTGTTTTTGCTACTTCATGTCCCCTCTGCCTTCTATAAATCAACTGTTACATAAGCGTAAAGCTCCAAAGTTGAAGTAACTAGCAACGTCGTTAAATCAAGAAGTTATCAATCTCATGATTATTGTGCTGAAACAAATAGCTTTGCAAAGATACTGTAACGTTTCTCACCTAATTTTGTCATCGTTTCCTGTTTTAGGACGAAATTGTGGGGAAGATGGATGTACTGAATGCGCAGGTATTCCGATCCACGATCTCTTGCGTGACTGAGTTTATCTTCTCATATATTACGTCTGCTCTTCCTTTTTGATTCAGTTGTGCTAGTGCTAACTTCTATATTTCTTACAGACTTGCAGAAAATTGTTGGAGTTGGTGGTTCTGGACAAGCATGTTCTGGTGAGGAAGATGCGTCAAAATGTATACAGTGGCCTCCCAGCAATTCTAAGGACCCTCCCTGAAAGCAGTTTCCCTCCACAAAAATTGGTTTTCCGTGAGCATTTCTTTGCAAATTCCATGAGCTCGTCCTTGCTGTAGAGATGTTTTAGCTATGTTGGAGAACAGAATTATACTGTATGGATGGGCCATGGATAATCAACCACCACCAACAACGGGCACCCATTGCTTTCTTCCCATTGTTATTTGTTGTAAATCCAATCAATCTTGGTGTTGTGAAAATTTCATTCCATTAACAAGTTGAGGCAAAGACAGAACGCAATGCCTTCTGTTCGCATTGAAAGATAAACATTCAACAAATCAAACTTCAAATTAAAATAAAATAAAAATGTGTGGTTTGAAGCTTAATGCGCAAGACTGAGATGCTTCTTGGAATACCACAAACAAACAAATTAAGCTTGCTTTCAGATACAATTACGACTTACAGTGACACAGAACATGATCGTTGGTCACCGGAAAATCCGTGAAAATGAAAATTTGAATTGGTAATTCTTTTTCTCATTTCTAATATATCCTGACAACAATAATACATTGAAACATCATATCTCACTAGATTAACAACATTCTAGTTACGGACTCATGACTACAAGTTATATGAATAGCAAAGACCTAAATCCCGTTGTCTATTTTTTGGCATAGGTAATCAACATTGAATTCTGCGGTGTCATCTTAAAATCTTGGAGTGCCTGCATTGCTACTGTAGACTGCATCTCATCTCCAAACTCCACAAAAGCAATACCTGGCTTCGTTTCCACCATTCTAACCTCCTTAAAACCAGGGTACTGGCAGAAGAGCATTTGCAACATCATGGGAGTTGTATCCTGAGGAAGATTCTGAACAAAAAGTATGTTGTTTGGCGGAGCAGGAGCCTCAGGTAACTTCACACCACCGGGATACGGTATTTGGGAGAGCTGCACCAGGTTGGGGGAGAGAAAGAGAGAAGTTAAGGATTTCATGAGAGCATACTATTTAAGCTTATACATGTTTACAAAAGGAAAATGTTTCATCAATTTAAATTCAAGGAAAGGGGCAGAACTGCAGATTATAAACTTTTCTGAAGAGATGGCAAGGTGCAACTTGTAACAGGTGGATCACTTGATTCCATGATTCCATAATTCAGAGTAGTGTTTTTTTAATGTCTTATCAAATATACCAGTTTCAGTGAACCAAAACGAACTTGAAATAGATAAACTACTTCATGCACCTATCTAATTAGTTTATGTTTCACAAAACGTGCAAATTACCAACTCTTATAAACCACAGGCAGTTTTTCCACTAAGTATACTTCACAAAGAGTTAAAAAAAAATTCAGTTCTAAAATACCAAACAAGGAACACAAGAGATATGATCGAATATCCCTCATGAAACAGAGAAGATACTTACAGGAGGTGCTGCACCATACGCACCAGCGTAAGCAGGATTCACACCCATTCCGGCTTGGCTAGCATCATGTTGCTCTTTTCGCTTTTTCCCTGCCACATAACGAACAGAAAAACAAACTTTAAGATCGCAAAAGCCCATATATCCGCCATACAGTAATATAACATATGTTTTTTTTTCCCAAACAATATATCTTATTGTCATACAGTTTATATAAACGAGAGCGAACAATGTACAAGATATGGGAATTGCAAAATAGGATGAGCAGAATGTCTTACCCTTGTCTTCATGCCTCTTTCGTCTTTCACGTGGAACAAAAGTACCATCAGCCTTTGCTATTACATCTGATTTTGTCTTGGCATATTGTATTCTCTGTTTTAATCACATATCAGTAAAATAAGTTTAAAACAAAAAACAAAAAAACAAAATCATATATATGGAAAAAGTTATGGTAATCACAACTACTTATATCTAACATGCTTTTGTGTGTGTCTGTGCGCATGTCACTGAGCAAGTCGGATATCCTTTTGATGGCATGACATGCAGAAATCCGTTTTCACCAACACTAAGCAGATTTATAGACGATACACCATAGAAAAATCATATGAATGGAAAAGAAAATCTGACCTAACTCTAACCCCTACCCCCAATCCCAACCACATTGTCCTAGCGATGGGCTTAGTCTTCTTACATACTCGTCTCATGCATTGTGCTAAGAATACAAATGGCATTCTAAAGGACAAAATAAAAGCAAACAAATATTAAATTTCCAAATGGCGCTTATATAACCAAATTCCTTGGGTCAAAACCTAAAGCCTCACAACAACTGACGAGTGACCAATATTAATAGTGTGTGAGAAAGGCTAACAAAAAGAAAATCCATGGCTTTCTTTGAATAATTGAATTGTAGCTAAAATCACATTAAAGTATCTTGCTTTGAGTGAGAAAGACAATATAGATATAGATAGAGAAGTACAAAAAGAAAAAGCATATAAGATTAGATTAGGTTAGTTTAGCATACCATAGGCTTGTCATAAAAGGGGAAGCCTTGCATTTGTTGAATGGCTTTGGTGGCGGAAGAGACGTCCTCGAAGACAAGCCAAGCTTGGCCTTTGTGCTTGAGCGTCTTGAAAGCTAACACGTCCAGTATCTTCCCGAACTGCGAGAAGACCGCGAGAAGCGACTTTTTCAATTCATCGAGCTTGATTTTCTCGTTCAGATTGTTGATGTAGATGGTCTGGTTCGCCGGAACTTCGCTGCCGCTATTGTTCTCTCCCATGTCTCCGCCCACCCGATTTTGGAGCTTTGAAGCTACTAAGGAGACGAACGAGGAGTTTAGCTGAGTCTCTCTCCAACTGGCGTGGTCCAAGGCAAGGCACAAACCACCGAGTCTTTTTCCCAAAGCTTAGCTGCTTCACTGTCAAAATTTGGAAGCAAAAAAAGCCCTAACTACGCCGACGGGATAATTCTATTCTATTGGACTCTAATTTAAGTTTGGGCAGATCAATGGGCCTCAGCTTCTAACTTCTAATCCCGAAATTGGGGTACATCAGCTCAATCTCAGGCCTAAGGTTTAAAGGCTTTAGGCCCAAAAGACTAACGATCATAATAAATTTTTAGAGAAACAGAAAAAACCAACTGAATTATACCCTACTTACGATGATGTTATCGTATGCTTAATGTCACATCACCAAAATGCCCCAAAATATCTCGTACTAGATGGAGGTGGGCATGTATATAAGGCACTTCACGCCTTCTCCGTTGGTCGATGTGGAATGTTACAATGTACCCCCTTCAAGGGCCCGACGTCCTAGTCGACACACTCGCACCACACAATAGAGTGACTCTTATATCATTCTAACACATCTCGAATCGGCTCCGCCGAAGCACGATATTATCCACTTTGGGTCTCTATCCTCACAGTTTTGTTTTTAGGAACTCACTAGCAACTTCCAAATGGAGGTGGACATGTACATATAAGATACATCACCCCTTCTCCGTTGATTAATGTGGAATGTTACACTTAAGCCACTCCAAATAAGAAAAACTTTGAAAATGATAGATCACAGAATACACGAAAGTGATATGCTATAAAGGTTAAAGGAACCTCATGATGTTCCTTGACCCTGTCACCCATCCCACTTGGGCACGACGATTGTTTAATTTGGCCACTCCACTTATTATTTAACCCCAACCCTTGCGTTCCATGTAGAGTCACGTTGCATATTAATTTAATAAATTAATAACTATCTGAATGGTTCCAACCAAAAAACTATCAGAATGGTTCTTGAAGAATCTAGAAAACGTAAATGGTCAACAAAAATAGTCGAACTCCCTTCCCTTCCCTCGCACCACCAACTATACCTCACCTTCTTTTGCTTTTTGACTACGTAGGGTTGTCTAGAAACAGAGAGTGCGTGACCTATGAAGAAATATATATATATATATATATATTATATTATATGTGTCAACCAATTAATTTCAATATTGGACTTTCTATATATATGTATATATATATATATATTATCACTGTGGTATGGTATGTCTGTGGATGATGAAGCAGCCGCGTTATTGAGAAATAGCGTCACCCCTCGAGTCTCACCAAAAGACTGGTTTGCAAACTTGCAAATTTGCAAATTAAAAGTGACAGAGACAGAGGGTGGCGCGTAGAGATTCATGCCATTGGTGTAAGTCCAATTGGCCTGGCCTCTCAACCCCGAGTCTTCTGCCGCTGTTGCCGTGAAATAGTGTTAAAAGGGTGTGGACAGAGAAATTTTTACACGCTTAGAACACCACTATTTGCCTAAGCATACCACTGATACTGTTCCTCATAATCTTATACAATGAATAAAAATTTATAGGGTGGCGCGCAGAGATTCATGCATCCATCCGCTTGAGGAGAGCATAGGCTGGCTTAGCTGGCCGGCTGGCTGCGACGTGTAAAGTTATAGCGACTGACTGATTGTCGCATTCTACGCATGCATTATTACTAGAGCATTCACAGGAAAGCAAGCAGAACACGAGGTGACATGACTCAACAAATAACAAGAAAGATATCTAAAATATATAGATATTTTAAGGATTTGGTGTTATATATATTTTTAACAAACAAGAGAATGATGGCTTAGATTATTCTTGTAACATCAACATCCGGCATCCGCATCCAAATTAAGTTGGGTTGGGTCAGTTGATATTGACTTAAACTAATACGTTCTTGATCCATTGATTCAAGTGAAGTGCCTCCAAAAAACACCAACATCAATAATTGAACTCCTCCAAACAAAATGACCCACTAGTGAGTAATTTAGAGTAATTAGGGCCCGTTTGGTAACGTTTTAAGGGGTTGCTTTTATTTTCAGAGAACAAAAATGAGGTAAAAACACGTTCGGTTGCCCAAAAACAGAAAACACTAAGAATGTTTTCATAAAATAAAAACAAGTTCATGTGTACTGGTAGAAAACATAAAAATAAAATAAAATTATTTTTATTCTCATGAGAAACGTTTTCATAAAAATAACTCACATATTATTATTTCAAATTGTACTATCATACATGTTTTTATTGTTTTTGTTTTCAAAAGATGTTTTCTAATTAATCTACCAGACGCATTTTCATTTCTTGAAATGCAAATTTGTTTTTTTATTTTCATTCTATGAAAATATTATAAAAAAACATTATCTAAAAACGTTACCGAACGAGCCTTTTTTCTCTCAAGTAAGGTTTTATATTCGAGTCTTAACATTCGTATTATGTATTTAATATATTATCGCTCTTTTTTATAGAAATATTATTTTTTTAAAAGCAATTGAACTCCAAATACCACTGGAACCCACACGTCTTCGAAGTCGGTTGCCACTCAATCATAACACAAATACCTAAACGCTGCACTCCATATATTATATA